CCCCAAAACCCCAAAACCCCAAAACCCCATGGACTAATGTTTGAATTTGAGATTTAAATTTATCCGAAATTTAAATAATAGCAAAACTTGAATAAAATGAATGATGAGTAGTACTCGGATTTTGAACCAAGTCCGATTAATAAAAGACCATAATTATTCCCAATTCAAAGATCAAATGAGTCTTCTGTTTTTTCGTTCAGCATCAGAGATGATGAGGAAAATATTGAGCCTTTCAAAACAAAGACTAGCCTGACAAAGACAAAGCCAATGCCAACTATAATTATAGATGAGGATACCACTTAAAAAAACTAAGGTGAGATATAACGCAAATTTGTAAACTAAATAATAGACAAAAATGAAGAAGCGGATGACACTACAATGCAGTAGTAGAATTAGGCTAACAACAGTAACATGCTGTCATTAGATCAAATAAAGTGGAACAAGTTATAGAGTCTGCAAACTATAAAGAAATTCGTGGATGATAGTATAGATGAGAGCATAAATGCAAGTGAAGTTATGAGGGAGGAAGAAATAGTCTTGGATTTAGCTGAGAGCAGGTAAAATAGTAAGTTCCATAAAATCCAATTAATACTGGCCTCTAAAATCTGCTGTAGATTCATCCAGGATGTAGTAATTTGGCTCCTCCGTGATGCATAATGTAATAATTTAAAATTTGATATAAGATATAGGATTAAACCAATCAAGTCAATGATTCGCCAGATTAAAATGACCCAATGGAAAACAAAACAAGAAATAGCTTTTTCGCCTCAGAAATAAATCGCCAATAGACAGAGGATGAAAAGCTAAAGTCTTCTAATGATTATTTAAATAAACTATTCAACAGAAGGCTTGGAACAAGGCAAGCGAGTAACCTCGATCGGAAAAGTGATGATCAAGATGCAATACCTAAATTAAATTTTAGTAAGAATAAATTTACTAATCAATATAGATGATCCGAATGATCTTAACAGACTACCAACATTATTCACTAATGGAGATGAAATTTTAGATGAACTTGAAACTTCAGCACTAAATCAAGCTTTTGGAGGAAATTTGAAAAATTTTTTAAGTACTATCAAGGTAGAAGAACCAGTCTAAGAAGATGATGGACTGAACGAGTATGAAAAAATAAAAAAGAAGTACAACATCGATGACGAGGAGATTGAGAGAGATCTGTACAATGATGCTAAGGGCGATGATCAAGAAGAAATAGAAGAGGATCCTTTTGAATCTAATTTCTTCAATATTTTGTAAGAATCATAAAATAATTGTTAACAATTTAGTAATGTCATTCTTTCATTCTTGTTTGTTATCATGATCATGACTGAATGCGATTTTTCAAGTTAGTAGAAGATCAGTACAATCATGTCTAAGATTTTTGATGAATCAAGCTATGATAGCTAAGGAAGTACAAGATAAGACATTACAACATCTGATTAAATTTATGAATACCTGAACAACCTACTCTTGCCAGTGATATTTGATGAAAGAACAAAAGCCACTGTATCAAATCCATTTATTACCAATCAGACATATCTAGATCAGTTATTAAATGAAACAGCCCACTATATCAATAACTTCAATTAATTCGTAGGTTTGAGAGTAACATACAAGAGGCAAAAGATGGAATAAAATCCAGATGATAAAAGCCATAAAGTACTGCCAAATATAGCCCCAGAGAGATTTAACATTAAAAGTCCTGGTGATTATCCGGATTATTAAGAACCTATCAAAGTTCCAAATAGCAACAAGGTTTATAACTATCATAGCGATGGTGGAGCCTTCAAGGTAGGTGGCTACACTGAGATCATCCTGGGAAAGAGAACATATAAGGAAGCTTAGCAATAGCTATCAGATATGAAAAATGCAGGATGGTTTGTAGATAACAATTTGCTTTACATGGCTGTAGAAATAATGACTTATAACATAAACTATGAACATGCTGGTTTTTATACTTTTCAACATACTAGAGATATAACAGGATTTCTAGATACTGATTCAGGCAGATTTTACACTATATATCCCAAGCTCTATGATGAGTAATTTCCTCCAATCTTAATTTGCATAGTTTGAATCCATAAGTTGTTTTGAGAATTATAGTATTTTGCAGTTATACACTATGCTTAGGGTTAAATTTCCTAAGATTTGTCTGGGTAAGTTTATTGTTATCCCTAACATTTTAGATAATGATTCACCATGCAAGAGTATTTTTCAGATTAAAAAAATGGGGATTAGAATGGTACTATTACTTAGATATTGTAATTTACTTTCTTTCCACTTAGAGTCTTTGGTATTGGTTTTAAAACTTAGGTACAAGAAGCTAGTTCAACCTGCCAGTGGATGATGAAGCCGAATTTGAAAAATGGAATGAAAACTAATCATACATGAGGAATTTCTTAAGCATAAGCCCTATTGCAGTTATATTCTTATGCTTTAAGAATTTGTAGATATTTTCAGTATATTTCCCTGCTTTTGGAGTACTGTTTGATACTATAAAAAAATCAAAGAATAATGCCCTTTCCTTCTTTATCATGTCTATGATACTGAGCTTTGGCTTTATTATCGCCGGAATGATAATGTTTGGGAATTAGCTACTTAATTACAACTCAATAGAAAATTCAGCCCTATCTTTATTCTTCATAATGATGACTTAAGCTTAAACAGAATATACAGATATGGAAATGACCAATCCAGTTGGAGCTCCTCTATATTTCTTTCCTTGTGCAGTCCTGTTTTAAATCATTCTCATTAATATGTTTATGACTCTGATCATAACTATTTACGATGGCATTCGACAAAAAAAGCAACTTGAAAGTGAAGCCATTGCCAAGATTCTCATAAGAGACTATCAATGGAAGTTTAAACTTTGGGCCAATTTTATTCTCTGTAGACTTGATCGTCGAACTAAAGAAGAAGTTTTCGTAGATGACGAGGATGATGAAGAAAAGAAAGCAAAATTAAAAAGTCAGATTGCGTAAATGTAGTTAGAATAAAAAAGACTAAAGTCTGACCTAAAGACTACTTTCTTATTCAACAAGGTCTAGTTATTTGGCTAAACTGAGATGCAAACTAAGGAAAAATATGAAGAAGAAGTAGAATTGAATAAAAGGAAAATCCTACAGAAAAAAAAGATTGATATCATTAAGCGAATTGTGAAGTTTAAAACTGTTGATAAAAGTGATTTTGATGATTTAAAACAAGCAATGATATACTTCGTATTCATTATTATCTATGTTGCTGTTGTGCTACTGTAGCTAGATATATTTTTGGTTAAGTAATCAACACATCCTATAAAAACTTTCATGGAAGGTGGATAATTTTAACACGATTTTGATCAGGAATAGAGTCGATTTCTAGAATCAAGATTGATTAATTCTGATGATCCAACTACCTTAAGCAACAATATTAATCCATTTATTCACTAAGAGTTTAAAGAAAGATTAAATAGGGTCTTGAATTTAAACACAACAAATGGCACCGCGAGTAAAAAATAAGAAACAATAAAGTCAGTAAATACAAGTACAGGTATTACAGATTAATCATAATAAGGTAATGAAGAAAAGGCATCTACTAATGGTGTATATGAACTTAAAAGTAGCTTAGTTGATATTCAATCAACACAAGATGTGGAAAACTGGATATTGCTTAAATTGTTTGTGTATATATACAAGGCAAACAATGAGTCCAATCAATTTTTGAACTAAAATTATTTCTTTGGCAAGAATAGAGTTAAGGCTACATTGAGGTTGCAAAAATTACATCCAAATATGGAAGAATCAACCAATTCTAGCGTTAAATACTATAGAAATACTGTGACTTGGAAGGCAGATTCCACATCAGATCCATATAATGAAATTACACAAGACTTTGTGGGAGAATCAACAGGAAATACATACAGATATATTAAGCCTGGTTCAATACTAACTTATGGAAAAGCTGGTGGATTTATTTTTTACTTTACTAACAGTTCAGATGAAGGATTTAACTTACTTAAATAGATATATCAAGATAAGATATTAGAAGGTGAATTATCAACGCTTGTACTTGAAATGAAAACTTATAATCCTAATTATAGAGCTATTATTATAACTCAGGTATTTTTTGAGTATGGAAATAGTGGAATAATTATTCCTACTGTTGTAGCTAAAGCCATAAAAACTAGCATTTATAATGGTAGTTTAGACTATTTTAGAGCATTCTTAGAATTCTTGTTTTTATTTTACATTATTCACTAGAACTATAGTCAGATTAAAAATTACATAGAGATTTTAAAGAATATATATACTGGGGTAATTTAGTTATTCATAATTTTTAATAGGAACTTGATTATTAAGAATTAGAAAAAGATGATTCAAAGGAGATTTGTCATTGCTTGAAGGTTTTCTTTTTCCATATCAGATTTGATTTCTACATTCATCAAAAAAAGAGAACTAACTTTGTAAGCTTACTAATTTATTTTATATTATTCAGGGATTTTTGCTGCTTTTAATTTTGATTTGGATGATTAAGTGGCTGATAAGATTTGCAGTTCAATTAATCAAGACTCTACTTTAATACCTAAATTAAGGAGTTTTCCATATCTTGGGATTCACCTCAGTAATTCTCTCTAATTTCTTGATAGTTTTATGGATTAAGCTCTTGGTGCTAAGATATATAGAATTTGACTCAAATGGGAAATTTAAACGAGATGTGACTGGCTTCCTTAGCCAGGAAGAAATTGATAATGTCTACTAGATTGATGTCCTTAGTTATTATGTTTACCTTCAAGAGACATATGTACTTATCTCATCAATTAATGCCTTGATAAATTTCTGGAGAATGTTTCAGTTCTTTCAATTCTCTATTAAGTTGTCTGTGTTTACAGAGATTCTCAAAGATTCAAAGAGTGATATCATGTACTTCCTGATTATGTTCATAATTATTTTACTCGGATATGGTGTTATGGGATCAGCTTACTATGGGGAAAATTTAAAGGAGTATTCAGACTTATTGCAAACTTTTATACAGCTGTTCTAGCTGATGATAACCTTCTTTACATATGAAGATTTTGCAAAGTATTCAACTCTGACTCCCTTATTCTTTATCACATTTATGGTTTTCTTCACTATGTTTTTACTCAGTATGCTTGTAGCTATCATTATAGCACATTATTCAGAATATGAGCAGCAGTAGGTCTTGCTAAAGATGAACATGAAGGATGATGATAATAGCTTCTTTCAATTAGTTTTCTGCTTTATGAGATAAGGAATAGCTCCTGATGAATATCAACTCAGTGAGAGTTCTCTTAAAAAGTGTTGGTTCAAATGCTGGAAAAAGATAGAGGATCTATTGTTCGCAAAAGAAGAAGTTGATAAGGAATTAGAGGAAGAGATATAATAGCTTAGATCTCAGTTAAGTTCTAAATACAAAAAGCCAAAGTATGACAAAAGGGATGTTTAAGAATCTTTAAGACCCTATTTAAATCAAGAAACATAAAACATTAAGACAACTGATTACTAGATGACATAGAAAAACGAAGAAGACGATGAAGAAGGAAAAGAAATGAATTTTGATTTTAATGTCGACAATCAAGGAAATGGAAAGGATCATTAAAAGAGACTTATCATCATGAGAAATCCATAAGCAAGAAACTATCATCAACTAAAGATAGGAGTATTGGGAAAGCTAGAGGATGATGCAGATAATGAGATAAAAACTTAAGCTGTAACATGGCTCGCTGCTCTTGAAGATGAATTGTTTACTGTCTCAAACTTCTAAATTTTATATACAGAATTTTTGGAGCCTGAGGATACCTACTACAAAGAGGATATGTTTCCAATTTATGATGTAGACAAGTTTAATAATTACCAATCTTAATTCCTTGTAGCAATTACCCTTGAAGACTAAGTTGAAATTTGGAATAAAGCATCGATTCCTTAAAAATAAGAAATTTGGGAAATTTTAGACTTCAAAAAAATTATTGATGATACAAATACTATTACAAGTGATGACACCCTAGACAACTTCTTTGATTACTTCCTAAATTGTACAAAGGGAAAAAAGACTTGGGCTAAACCTATTTTGACATATAAAAGAATTATGCGGTCACCTGAGTATCAAATGAATGAGTATTCAAGAGCATCAGACTTGTAATATTTACTGTGGAAGGAGCACACATGTGAAAAGGATAAATTTCTCCTTTGGTTCTATCATTTTAGTACTTACTACAGGATAAAACTCTGGAATAAATTAAACTTCAGTGAGGACTATGCATTAGCTTTTGCTAATTCAAATACTCATACGAGATAAGATCTTGTGATATTTTTAATTGAAAAACTTGATGCAGTAAGATATCAATATATCGAATTTCTAATGAGAAGATATGAAAAACTTCTGATAAAAAAACAAAAGGTAATCAATATTAAGAGTTCTGTTCATGAATACAAAAAAGTCATAGAAGGAATAGAAGAGATCGAACTAATGCTCTAAAATATCATTTAAAGAAAGATAAGACTATAGGAAATATTGAAAGTAGCTCCTGAAGAAATCAGGAGCAAGCATATTAATAATGACTTTTACATAAAGGTCTGGGAAATAGTTAAGAATCGTGAATATAAGGAGATACATCCTAAAACAGGGTAGTCTATCATTAGTGCTGTTAGAAAAATAAAATAAGGTCTTGAACTAAATGATACTCCCTAACTTACTGATGATAAGGAACAAAACTATAATCAAAGGGCCGAAACTCTGATTGATTAATTAGATTTAGAGGAATAAAAAGAACTAAAACCTAAGATTGATCCAATTATCAAGAAGAAGCGTATTCCGAATCTCTTTTCACCTCAGGATAATAAGCCTGAATATACTTAAAAAGAGTTCCTTAAAGAACTTGGTGTCACTGTAGAGCAAATGATGAGATAAAAATTTAAGATCACCAAGAATAAGACCCCTTAAAAAAGTCCAAGTAGAAATCCAGCGAAGAGCCCTGAAAAAAATCTGACTACCAAAATAAATTATGATAAAGTTTAATTAAGAGTACCTTCAAGAAGAGATTCTACAGATAGAGTATCAACAGGCTTACCTAGAACAAGAGCAGAAACACCAGATGTCAATTTATTTAGAGCTTAAAGCGACAGAAAAGTTGTTTCCTTTATGTAATCCTCTCAATTTAACGGAAGACCTGCTGATACCGAGAGAAACTTAGAAACAGAAAGGTAATTTGAAACAGATGAGAAGTTTAATATAACTCTAAGAGATGAGGAAGAGCAGGAATATTAAGCTGAAGAGTTAAACTTTAAACCCAGTAAACTTTATACCTAGCTTTACGTCAGCATTAAATAGTAAGCAATTTTTGAAGAGAAATCTAAGAGAAATAGTAAAGATCTTAAAAAGAAGAAAACTGCTTTTGATATTGTAGATGTCAAATTACCTAAATAAAAACACCTCAAGAATATGAAGCGAATTTTCTAACAGATGATTGGGGGAATAGATGGCCAACTTTGTAAAGATATGCAATCTGAATGTCAGTCTAGAGTCCAATCTCTTATGTACCATGATAAACTTCTAGGAGATCCACGTAAATTGGAAAAGATAGAAAAATTTAAAAAGCTATTTAAGTACAACTACATCAGAAAAAGAGTTGATTCACATGAAGAAAGATTGCCGCTGTGGCTTGGATTGCCTTTAGATGAGAAAATGAAAATGATCGTGGGTTAAAGGATTGAAACAGAGGCTGAAATGATGGAGATGTTGCTGCTAGAAGAAATTGACTGGTTTGGAAAAGGCTTCTACAAGTTAGAGCAGCTAGATACTATTGTGGAGAGAGGACTAGATAATTTAGTCTATGAAAAATATTAAAAACTAACTGAAAAGCAATCAATGGATATTATAAACTCTAACGTGGATAGAGCAATAAATATTAATTAGGATGAGGATGTGCTTCTATTAAAGTATATGGTATTCCTTGAGGAGAGATCGAAGGCAATTGGAGTCTAAACAGTAGCAGCATAGAAGAATATGAGAAGACTTAAAGATGAAAACAAAAGAATTGAAGAGAGAATAAAGTGGAACAAAAATTTTAAGAAAGGTAAAAGTGAAAAGGTTTAATCTAAAGATGAAAAGATCAGTCCATGGAAAAAGAACTCGAAGAAAGAATGAAGTGAAGGGAATTAAAGCTTAATTTTCTTGGATAAATGATATTTCTAAGTCTTATATAAACTTTATTTTGATTTTCTGATATTTTTAAAGCTGTTGTGATTATTTGAGGATATAGATTTTATGACATTTAATAAGATACCAATTAATTTAAATAATAGTTATAAATTTAAATTTAAGACTAAGTTCAATGAATGACGATGACTCTCATGAGAATGAGAAAAAAGATGATTCAAACCAAAACTAATCAAGCTCAATATTCAGTGTGGCAAACAGCTTTGTCTAGCATAAGAATGGCAAGGCTGCAAGATAACTATCTTTAGGGTCTTAAGCTCTCAAACCTAAAATTATGATAAATAATGAGGACTTAGACAGCTTTGACGAGGGATTAAATTCAAACTAAAAAATACTAGAGCTATCAGACGAAGATGAATATTAAGGAGATTAAGACAATGAGTCGATGAGTAAAGTATCATTTAAGAGTGATCATCTCAGATAGTATCCAGCAAAATTAAGCAGCAGAAAAGCTGGTACTCCTCAAATAATAGTTGAAGGGTCGTAATAAGATGCAACTAAAATCCTAAATGTAAGCGCTTTGAATGACATTAGTGGGAACTCCATAATAGTAAATGAATTCGAGAATAATCCTAAATTTCTAATGAGCAATTCTAGTCAATCTTAATTTGAATTAAATGATGAAGCTAAGTTTCTGAAACCTAATATATTCGAAAACCGAAGATAGAGTATCCAATCATATGCTGATGAATTTGACGAGGAAGTTAAAAGAATTAATACTCAAGGAAATGCAATCGGACAAACTGATGAGAATTGAAATACTTTGAAGACTGATTCAGAGATGGAGGGAGAAAATTTAGGTTAAAATAAACTGAGGGATTTGATGATAGATCAGCTAAGACATAACCTAAAAGCAAGTTCTGTTTTTACTCTTGGAGTAGAAGATCAGAACTATTTGAGGAATTAAGGTACAGATCTTTATAAAACCAATGAAACTCTAGAACAGTAAAACAGTGTAGCAATAGAAAGATTAAAAACAATGGCAAATGCGTTTATGCAAACAAAAACTAAAATTATGATGAGAGATGATAGCGAAATTGTTATTCCGAAGTTGAACCTTGAAAATTTGAGACCTTTAAGAAAATAAGAATCAGATCGATAGCCTAACGAGGAAGATTAAAATGCTATTTAAAATGATGATTTCATCGGATTAGATGGAATGTAGTCTCCTGAGAGAAATGAAAATCATGATAGTGATACAAAAATGAATGAACTAGATGTGAAGAATAAATCTTTTAACAAGACAGAATAAGAATCTTTTGATCAGAATAAAAGGGAGGAAGAGATTAAGAAACTTTAAAAAGATGCATAGGAAACAGATTAAGATGAGGACGAAGGAGGTAGATAAGGTGCACTCTCAAATTTATTCTATCTTTTGACTTCATTTGTCTTCATCATTATATTTGTTACTCAGTTCGATCTTACCGCTTAACAAAGATAAAGCTATTTATTGACTACCCTATTGGATACTACAGTATTTGATTTTCAGCTTTAGCATGTGAGATAGGATGCAGGATCTGCAGGTGAAATCTACTAGTACTTGAAGGATTGTTTAATCCCATTAATTTATGATGAGGTATAGAAAAAAAGTAATGGAATTTTCAATAATACATAGAGCTTGACAAACAGATATAATTAAACACTCTCTAATGAAACAGAGCATTATTTGGGGTTGTTCACCTATTATGTGGGCATGAGAATTTCTCTTAAATAGTCTAAATATTATTCTAATGGAGATTCTTAGTCTTAAAAAGTACTTCCTGAAATAGTTCACTACAAATTTGATATTGATGCTGCCTTAGATGATTAAAGAGAAACTATTACAAGTCCAAAAACTGGCCAAAACTACGTATAATTCATATTCCTCTAATTATTTTAATAGACATATGAAGAAGAATCTGGTCCTAGATTTACTGGAGCATATCCGATATATTTTAAGGGATAAATGACATATAAAGAAGCAAAAGACCAAATAATTGATTTATTTGATTCTGGTTTCTTTGATGAGCATAATTTTCTTTATATTGCTGTTGAAATCTTGACATATAATGAGGGGTATAAGTCAGGTGGATTCACCTCATTTGAATTTTTCAAGACAAATGATGGATCATTTTATACACTCCCTTCCTTTTATTAAAGTATATTCCCGCTAGAAAATAGAGAGTAAATACTAATGCTTTTGTAAATAAATTTATTTCTTTAGAATTACTGGATAGTCATTAATTAAATAGATCAGCATTTTTATCTATATAATCGGATTACTTATTTAATTGATCCAACTACTATATGTAATACTGCTTTTGATTTAGATTATTTTCAATATAGACATTCTACAAGTACATAAGAGAGTATATCAAAAGAAAGGAGCTCAATATATAATGGTATGATTACATTGATTCATTGGCTATTGCTTTTTGTTTGCAATCAATGTATTATTGGTTTATATTATACGCGAGAAAAGATATATTTAATATTCCAATTGGAGATATCAATGAGTTTACAAAGTAAATCCAATCTAGATACTATATATAGCAATATCTAAACTCCTCATCAATAGCGGTAGTATTGCTTTGCATAAAGAACCTTAGAATCCTCATGATATTCTTCCCTTCTTTTGGAGTGTTATTTGATACGTTTAGGAGAGCAAAATCAGAACTTTTCTATTTCTTTACAATGAGTATAGTTTTCCTAATAGGCTTTCTGTTTGCTGGCAATAGTTTATTTGGTTCTCTAAATGCAGATTACAAAGATCTTGGAACTTCTATGATGTCATTATTTAGAATGCTAGTAGGTGAATTCAAATACAAAAGTCTGTAAGCATCAAATCCAGAGGCATCCATTCTATTTTTCATAATATATGTTGTGTTCTTCTTCATTATCTTGTTGAATCTACTTTTAACTATCGTCATTAAAGTTTATGATTCACTGAGATAAAAGAAGGCTTTAGACTCAATGGCTAAAGCCAAGATTATTTCTAGAGAAAACTATGCTTACTTTTAGAAATGGCTAGATTTATTGTTATGCAGGATGAAAGGTGACTAAGAGCTAGACACGGAATCAGAAGGTAGTGATTTAGAAGATTAGAACCAATTATCAAGCATAAGTAATCAATAAAGAGAATCAAAATCTAATCTTAAAGAACTTTTAAGAGCTAGAATATTGCAAAAGATTGAGTAGAAGAGATAATAAGAGATAGGCATTGAAAAAAAGAAAGACATTAAGACAATTTTCCTACATAACAAGGCCAAATTATTTTAGAGTGGTAAAATGCTTAAGACAAAAGAATAAATGGAAAATGAATTGGCTTTAGTAAAAAAGCAAATTATAGAAAAGAAAGTCTAGGAAAGAGAGGCTAGAATAAGAAGATTTTAAACTACCGATATTAAGGGTGTTTTAAAACTGAGAAGTTCTATAGTGTACCTCCTGTTTATTATAAATTTCGTGGTTATGCTCAGTCTGCAACTGTAAATAACTGATTCTGGTTAAGCTTAGAAGAGTTTGAAATCAAAGATATAAACGTAGAATTTCACCAATCTTTAGTTATACACTCCATTTGATCCTGATCACTCCCTGTTTAAGCAATATCCAACTTACTACGAATAATACAGACACCTAACTAATTTGACAGTTTCAAAAATTTTCCATCCCAATCAGATGTCAGACTGGTTATATACCTCACTTCACCCAATCATTTATGGTAGTGCTGACTAAACAATTTTGAGGCAAAACCACTTATTCGGCAAGGTTTATGCAAAGCTGACTTTTAGAAAAATTAAGATGAGGCAAAATAAAAATGATATTACAAAAAATGTAATATAAGAATATAGAAGTGTAGATTTGCTAGATTTCACAGATGGCGTTAAGGATGATGAGGTTACTACGAATTTTAGAGGATCAAGAAGCAATAGAACATATTAATATTTCAAGCCAGGCAATATAAATACTTATGAAGAATCAGGAGGATTCTTATTAAATTTACCATCAAATAGCTCTGAGGCTAAGTAGATACTCTATGACTTTATAAATGATAGAATTATTGATGAAACTCTAGCTTATCTTAGTATAGAATTTGTAACTTATAATCAGGCTTATCATGTCTATGTACTTTCAACTATAACATTCCAGCAAGAAGTTTCGGGGATAATAATGCCTTTAGTCAGGTGTCGAACTATTAGAAAGAATCTATATGTGACTAGGCTTGATCAGTTCAGACTTTCTCAAGAACTACTCTACGCGATTTTAATATTGTTCTACTTATCTGTTGAAATTAGAGACTACATTCGAGAATGGATAACAGTTGTCAAAATGGTAAAATAAGTGAATGTAATATATATTTAGGATAACAAAGATTGGAAGCCTGAATATTCATAAATTCAACCTAATTGCTTTGAGAGAACTTGCGTCTTTTTAGGAATCAATTATCAATATGTCATCAATAAAACCTTTGTAAGCTTATTACTATTCATCCTAAACTTAAAAATATTTTAGGTAATTCTATTCCTGTATTTGATGTGGTTTTCTTTGATTTGGTTTTTAAGATAGATAATCAGATTTTTGAGAGTCCTTCTCCGATACATATCCTCTGATTTCTTCAAGCTATTTAATCTGGTATCTATTTCAATTTCATTGACATTGATTGGAACATGGATCTATATAATAGCATCAGAGAATTTTTTCCTTGATTAAAGTGGTAATGTAGTAGGAGCTTCTCATAATTAAATTGACTTGCTCTCAAATCTGGCAGATTACTATGACACCTATAACTTTTACTCTTCGATAAACACCATCATTATTTTCTGGAGAATATTGCAATTCTTCTCCTTTTCTTTTAAATTATCAGCTTTCACTGAGATCTTATCTGCCTCTAAGAATGATGTGCTATTCTTTATGCTAATGTTTATTATTTGTTTGTTCGGATATGCTGTGATGGGATACTCGATATTTGGCTAATCTTCAAGATAGTACTCGAATATATTTTTCACAATCATTGAACAATTCAAAATGATGATAGAATATTTTGACTATGACAGTATGAAACTTTGGAATCCAACTTTCGCACCTGCTTTTTTTATTAGTTTTATGCTATTGTTCGATCAATTTATGAAGAACATGTTTATTGCTATTATTATGGCTCACTATTCAGAATTTTAGTCCTTTAGCAATTTTAATCAAGATGAAAATGATTCAACCAAGAGAAAGAATTAGTTTAATAAATTGCTTTTTGGTGTTGTTAAGAGCGCTCTCTGTCCAGACTTTTTAATCGATAGAGCTGTAAAGAAAAAGGGAAAATTTTGGATCTGGTATACATCAAACTGGGAAAAGCTAGAGGGAAGATTATTTAAGCCAACTTAAGAAACTAATGATGATAATTTAACTGAAGAAATCAAAGAGTTGCATTTAGTTTTAACTAGCAGATACTTAAGACCTACTTATGATAAGAAGGATATACCTAATTCTGTTAAGCCATACCTATTCTCTGAGTATAATGTACAAGATGACGATGAAAACAGAAGGAAAAATGAAGACGACAATGAAGATTCAAAGTTGCCAGATAATAGCATATAAGATGGTAGGTTTCATCTAGATCCAGAAGAATTGAAAATGGCTTAGGACAAGAAGGATAAAGCCAAGCAGAAGGAATATGATTTGAAGTATGGGGGAGACAACGTAGACAACTAAGCCTTAATGGTGAATTACATTAATATAATTCCAAAGAATTTCGAGGGGCTTACAGATGATGAGTTGACTTCATCTAATGTTTGGGTAGCTGCTTTAGAGAATTTGTTGTTTCAGTAATCTCAAAAGTCAATCTTATATTCAGATTTGCATGAAATGGACTAGCTTTTAGGAAATGACTTGGTCTGCATGCCTATATATGATATTGATTAATTTTCCTCAATATAAGCAGAATTTCTAATGAAAGATGAGCAGTAGAGGATATAAGCCTGGAAATTGAGTAATACAGATAAAAAATTGAAATTGTGGGTTGTGCTTGATTTTGAAAAAGTTTTTGAAGATGAAAACAAATATAGAGATGAATTTAATGAAAGACTAGAAAGTTTCCATGATATCATTAATGAAATGAAGAAAGATTATGATTTTTGGGAAAAAGAGTAATAAAAATCTAAGCATCAAACCAATCGCAGTAATCAAGAAAAGGATCTACTATCAATGGGAATAATTAAAAGAAGGGAGTAGATGTAGAAAATTTAGCAATAACTTGAAAGATAAAACAGAGACTTGATCAAACAAGTACCAGTACTTACCTTTAAAAAGATCATAAAATCTCCAGAGCTTTAAGACCCTGAATTCCTGAAGGTGTCAGCACTTTAAAAGAATCTCTGGATAAATTACACCACTCACAGTGAAAAGTTTAATCTGTGGTTTAACTGCTTTTCTCCTTACTATAGAACTAAGCTTTGGAATTCATTGTCATTTAGCGAGGACTATGTTATTGGGATAGTGAATACGACTAAATACTTCAGACAAGATGTCGCATTGAAAACTACAATTGCTCTGCAGACTATTAAAAAGGAGTATAGAGATTATTTGGAAAGAGAAATTAGAAAAAACCAAGATGAATTCGACAGTTTAAAGGCAATGAGTGACCATAAGGTGATTCACAAGCAGATAACTAAATAGAGAAAAGCAATCTCTAAGATGAGGGAACTGGTTGATAAAATAGAATCTTCTCAGATAAAGCTAGAAGACATTGCAAAGAAAGCCACCTACAAGATTAGAAATAGACATTTCAGTAGTGGATTCTTTTTAGATGTACTTGAAATGTTGCAGCTTAAGAAATTTAAGATATTCAAGAAAATAAAGAATGATTCAAAAAGTAAAAAGCTATTTGACCAGATAGACAAGGAATAATAGCTCTTAAAACTTGAAGAAGCTTAGACTAGGCTAAAGATGTTCACCAAAAAGAAAACAGATAGTATTTAGGAGGAATCGGAGTATGTTAGGAAGAGAACTCCAAAGAAGATAAAAATTGAAGAAAATAAGTACCATCATAACGACAAGCAGATAATGATTAAACAGGCTATTTAGCCTAAACTATTTGGACTTGGAAAGTCAAGAACTAATCATATAATATAACTGGGTAGTTTTGGTGGGCCTGGAGATCTAAATGCTACGAATGATTAGTTTGAGAGAAGTAATAATGATTCAGTAGTGCAAGGACTTCACACAAGAGGTCCTTCTTAAATTCCAATTCTATAGAAAATTTAAACAGTCCAGAGTCCAAGTTCATATAGAAATCTAATGGCAGCCTCAGAAACCAATTAGACTTTGAGCGATAGAGATAAATCATAGCAAAGAGAGATGTTTTTGAAGAATATTAAGAGTATGAGCAAGGACGATGATGAAATTTTTGAAGTTAAAAAGGTATCTCCCAAGATCTATATAGAAACTCTGAAATCATATTTTGGGACAATGATCTATGGGGTTAAAGGAGATAGAATTAGCAATCTTAACTAGTATTATCCTATAACTAAGGGAATGTCATAGGAAGGGAGATAAAGGTAAATGAAGCATAGGTATACTTATCTAGTGCAATCAATGGATATTAATGAGTAAAGATTGCCACTTTGGCTTTGTATGAGTTAGGATGATAAACTAAGGATGTTGGCCTTCTAGCATATTGAGGGAGAAGCTTAGACAATGTCACTACTAATTACTGAAGAGATAGAAAGGATGTAGGGATCAAAGCACAAAATCGCTGATTTAGACAGGAAACTAGAGCGTACTTTGGACAACTAAATATATGAAAAATACAGAAGGCTTACTGAATGGTAAGCACTTAAAACCACATCAATAAATGCTGAGAAGAGGCTGCAAAGACTTTAGGAAGAAGATGGAGCCATACTTAATCTTATTGAATACCTCACAGATAAAGGATAGGATTTGCAGATCAGGTAGCAATAGCTATTTAAGGATATAATGAAAAGATACAAAGAAAACTAAATTTGGAGACAGTAATATGAATCCAAACCAATTGATAGATCTCCTGAAAAATGATATATAATATCAAGCAAACTACTTTGATTAAATGTTGATTTACTTTACTAATCTTAATTTCATTACTAGCCTCAAATACAGATTCATGGGGTTTTGGGGTTTTGGGGTTTTGGGG